CAATGAGCTGAAGTTCTCGGGCCATTGTGAGAAGAAGGTAAATCAGGCAAATAAATTATTGGGTCTTATAAGAAGGTCGTTCAGATATCTAGACGGTCCGTCCCTCGTGACGATCTTCAGGAGTGAAGTGCTTCCCCATCTGGAGTACTGTCACCCCATCTGGTCCCCGAGATATGCTAGGGACTGTCAGTTGGTTGAAAATGTTCAAAGGAGGGCCACCAAGCTGGTGCCTGCACTTCGGCATCTCAGCTACCCTGCGAGATTGGAGCGCCTGAACTTGCCTAGCTTATACTACAGACGGGCAAGGGGGGACCTAGTTGAGGTTTATAAGCATCTCAGGGGGCACTACTCAGTTGAGTGTCCTTACTTGGAGCTGGCGGACGCTCGCCCCACAAGGGGTCACAGCTCAAGATTGAAGAAGCCGCAAGTCCGGAAAACCGTGAGGGCAAACTTTTTCGGAGTGGAGTTGTACTTTCTTGGAACCCAAAGTTGAAACCACCCTGAAAGGAGCCTTTTCAGACAAGAAGAAAACACACTACAACACTGGAGCACATCAGGTAATCAGGCCGGTGCATGCCCAGATTGCCAACAGTGCGTGACGAGACGTGACGGGCGGGGGTGCTAGCGAGCCACCTTTTGATGAAGAAAAAAGAAGTAAGCGTAATTTCGCCCAAGCGGCTGTATCGTTGGCCAAGGAGAGATAAAAAAAAAAAAAAATAAAAACAGTCATCAGCTAAGATTGTTATATTGTTCACTTTTTTGTAAGAATTAAAGTAAAAATACTAATATCCTTATTCATTTTGGTTCTGGCACTATACAATACAGTATTCTAGTTACACACTGTGTTCATACATACTATGCATTGCTACAGTCGGTCCTCACTTTGTCAGGCTGGTTAGTGTTCTTTGTTATAATCATGTGTCTGACCCACAAGGCTGAAGAAGCCACAAGTCCAGAAAACTGTGTGGGCAAATTTTTTCAGAGTGAGAATTGTAAACTCTTGGAACAATCTGCCAAAAAGCACTGGGATGGTATTGAGTGTGAGCTCATTCAAGGCCAGACTTGACCGACACTGAAGCAGGTTCTGATATATTCAGGAGCCAGTGCATGCCCATTACTTGTCAACAGTGTGTAACAGAGATGTGACCGACCGCCCAAGCGGCTAACGAGCCAACCAGTGGTGAAGAGGATAAATGTAAAAATATGTTGCACTTATGGCATATTTCAGTGCCTGCTTGCTGGGCTTGTATTTACTGGCTGAGGAATGTGAGTTAAATTTGCAGTTTAAAAGAGTACATACAGTACTGTGTCATGCTCTAAATAAGTCCTGTTCTCTGTTATGATCTTCCTCACCATTGAAAATTCCCTCTCACTTGATGTATTGGAATGTGGTACAACAAGCAGACACTTCGTCAGTTTTGTCAAAGTAGGAAACAGATGCTGGCTTGCAAGCATTTTCTTGTTCAGTTTTGTAAAGAGTACAGTGTGAGGCAGAAATGCTACTGTGCCATTTGTTAAAAAGTGACTTTTCTTCAACAAGTTCATAACTTCATTTTATTATCACCAGTTTAGGAATGAAGTAAAGTAAAACTTCATTATTCTTACACTGAAGGGTGGAAAAGGGGGGCTGAAATCTCAGATATTTTAAAGTCTGTAGAAGGATAGAAGTAGATCTTATTACTTAAAATTGTACGGGTACAGTCGTGTCGCATCTTACACACATTTAACTTACATGCATTCAATTTTATGAGCTTGGCTTAGGGGAAAAAAACGCAGTGAGTGTAGGAGCATATGGCTTTGGGAGATACTTCTACCCGCGCCTCTCTTCGCCTTAGTTGCTGCGTGTACTGAGCAGTGGAGAGGGTTTGGGTTGTGTGCCTCTGCCAACTGACCCTTAGCAACAGTTGCTAAAGGTGAGTCGGCAGAGGCAGCACATCTCAGCTTAGCTGCGATGCAGTGTGTGGGAGAGGAGCGGATTGGAAAGTGTGGGTAGGGGAGGGTTAGGGATGGGAGGAAGAGGTGAGGGTAGGAATGTGGGAGAAGGGAGAGCATAGGAGTTTATAAGGGGAGACGGAGGTCAAGAGTGTGCGGGATAGAGTGAGAGTGGGAGAGGGTGAGAGTGGGAAAGAGCATGATAAAACAAGAGGGTGGATGGGAAAGCACGGGAGAGTAAGAGAGAGAGAGTAGGAAAACATAGGAGAAAGTGAGAGGTGTTGGAGAGGGATCTCCAAGGGAGAAGCATCAAACACCACACACACACACCATGTTTGAATGCCCGAGCCAGGCAATTTCTGCTTCCTTACAATCACCCTGTGAATTCTTTCTTTCTTTTTCTTTTTCTTTTTTTTGTGTGTGTGTGTGTGCACTATCTTTTCCTAAATATTCTCTGTTGAAATCAACTTGACAATCAGTGACAAAGAGGATAAAGTCATTGCTTCCACACTTACAATCGCCTTCCACACAAAATGCACACCCATGCTCTTGCTCTTCATATTTCTTATTTTATAGTTTTATATTATATTCTCTTTATTTCTAAGTTACAAAAAAGTATTGAAATGATTTTTCCACAACTTTTATAGCTTCATTTTATGTAACAATGGCAACATGCATTACCGGTACCCTCTCGCTCTTTCCTTTCCTCCCTCACTCCTTAAGGCGGGAGCAGTAAAGACAGTTAAATAGCCATTGTATGGGTACCCCTCTCACTCTCTCCCTCTCCCTCATTCCTCTCTATTTACTCATCTTCCCTTTCCCCCTCCTCATCCCCCTACCCCTCCACCTACTCTTCTCTTTCATCCTCCTCCATTCTCACTCTCTCCTCATTTCCTCCTCCTCCATCTCCACTCCCACTACCTCCCTTCTTCCTCTTCTGTACCTCTCTCTCACTCCCATATATCTCCCTCCTCTTCTCCATCTCCCTCATTCCCCTCTACCCATCTCCACGCCCTCCCCCTCTCTCTCCTCTATTTTCCCTCTTTTCTCCCCATCTCACTCCCAACTCCCTCTTCCCCTGCTCTCTCCCCTTGTTTCTCCCCATTTTTCTTCCATCTCTTCTCCCCCTCACCTCCCTACCAGGTTCGTTCCTCCCCTTCTCACCTCTTCACCTGATCCTCTCCTGCTCACCTCCCCACAAGATCCTCTCCTCTCCCCAACACACACACACACATGCTCTTCATTTTTTCTTATTTTATAGTTTTATATTATATTTTTTTATTTCCAAACCACATTATAGTACAGGGATATATAACCATGTACTTTATGGATGATTTAAAGAATTTCCACGGGTAATTTTGACTATACTGTACACGTTTTTCCTCTTTAGAACGTAAACCCCCACATAAGATTTGACATAACTGTATACGGTACTCTGGTAAGAAAGTCTCTATATTATAAAGTTATTTTTTCCCCATTTTTTTTCTTAAAATTAAAAACAATAATAAAAACAAAGAAAACTAATGAAATCCATCAAGAATGCATTGCCATAGTTGTTTGCTTTAATTTCATCCAATCATAACAAAGTGTGCAACTCAAAACATAACACACATCATCAGTCAGCTGTAGCCTCTGAGATGGCTACTTGTGTTACCATTGCTTTATTTAATGTAACTATAAAAGTTGTGGAAAAATCATTTCAATGCACTCGTGATATCTCCGTTAGCCGGAGCAATTGGTTCAGAGCACTTCCGGGAATAAGAGGTTTCCAGGTAACGAGACTACTCTCTCAAACCCGGAAAAATCCCCCATCCCAGATCCAGATACTGGAATTTTCTCAGAATTTTCCAGAATGACACTTTATTTCATCTCTCAAACTCGGAAAAAATCTCTTATCCCCGGAATTTTTTTGGATACTGGGAACTCTTCTCAGAATTTCTGGAAAATGCACCCCTCGGAAAATCGAAGTTTTGTTCGTTAATCGAACTGAAAATCCTTATGGGAGCTAATTCGTTAACCAAAATTTCGTTAATCAAACCGTTTGTTAACCGAGGGACCACTGTACTGTGTAAAGAAAATCTATAAGTTGCATCATGCACAATATGTTATTCTACTCGTTAGCTTTTGTTTTATTAGAATCGGCCCATAAATGGCCAAGCCTCAGGGATTTGAAGGTTAAGAAAAACTTGTTCTGAGATACGGGCCGATAAAGTTGGCGTGAGTGCAACTCATGATCGCACCTCACTCATGCATGTTTGATGGGTCACTGTCACTTGTGATGATGCTCTCCTGTGGTTAGCTTGCTGAGAAAGGTGCCAGATATTGATTTTTACCAAGTGATTGGGATTAATTTACACCAAAATATTATTATAAATACTTTTCTTTAGCTTTTCCTATATAAACGGGAGGGCCCTCTAAATGAAGGGAGATTAGAATAATTGTGCATACGGTAGCTACATAAACATTATGAATTATGCAATAAAAATACGTCAGCATATAGCCATAGGCAACGGCTTTCCTCAGGAATTTTTTCTGAATATTTTCATAATTTTCCGATTTTCATCGTATTTCAGCCGGACGCTCCCCTTAAGTAACAAAGTCTGGTACTTCTTACAACTCTGTGGTTCTTCAAATACAGGTTTTACTGTACAGTAAGTCCCCGACTTACGAACGCCTGCCGATATGAATGGGGTTAAACTTGAAATTTACTGTGTTTTATTTACCTGATGACTTATTTTTTACTTTCATTTACTGTATTTTGTCATTCTCTTTCTTAAATTAAGCAATATTAGATGTATATAAGGACTTAGGCTATGATATAGTGGGATTTTAAACATTGTTCTGGAAGTACGGTATGCACATAGCTTGTGTTCCAACTTAGGTACAAATCCGATTTAAGAACGTCCTCGGGAACAGAACCCATTTGTAACCTGGGGACCCCTTGTATGTGGGTTCTACTAACCTACATTTACAGGTTATTGGAGGCTTTGTATCAATATGTGAGCTATGTTGACTTACATTTACAGATCATCAAAGGATTTTTATCAAAGCCTGACCTACATTTACAGGTCATCGGAGGGTTTTCTTGTCCAAGTGCGGGAGGATGATGGCAGCCAGTCGCTGCAGCCCATAATGCTAGATTCTTTGATCTCCAATGTACCAAACCTTAATGCAGCTCCTCCTATTAATGATGTCAGAAAAAAAGTAAGTCGAGGATGAACATAAAATTTACTTGCTAGAGAGTTGATATGGGGTACTCCCAGTAAGAAGTAAACAAGTGACAAATGAAACGAAAAATAACGAAAAATTAAAAAAAAATTTTAACATTAAATGAACCATGTGACTTTTTTTTCACAACTTCAGATTTTCATAAATCAGATATTCATAAATCAGGGACTGCTTGTAAGTGTAATTGTTGATACATAAAGAAGGGCTCATGATAAGCTAGAGGGGACTTGCAAATTTTCTTAAAAACAGTATGTAATTGTTCCTTCAGGCCTCAGAAATGTTTACCATCAGATACGTGGACTGTGCACTTTCACTGTATGTTTTCCTACTCCTTGGCTCATTAACAAAAATATCATTTATCTGTTCGCTGTATTCATAAGGTGTATGATTATTATACTGAAGATATTACTTAGATTGTGAAATTAATTGATTTCTCACTTTTACTTGATTTCAAATGAATTGTTTATCAACTCTCCTTTGACAGTGTGTTAACTGCAACCGTGAGAGTGAGTTAGAATGTTCGGACTGTCACAACCGAGCGTACTGCAGTGATTTTTGTCAAAGACGAGACTGGGCCAATCATCAGAGTGAGTGTGGAAGGTCAAGCCCCACACCAGAGGACCCACTGAGCACAGTCACACAGGCTCCTGGCTACATCTTCATGCTATCAGATTAAACACCAAAAAAAATTTGTACAGTATTACAGTTGAGGTTTGTTACTTATTATTATGTTGATAATTATGTATCTTATTGGTTTTCTTCTTACACATTGAAAAATATTAAATACTGATGACAAATTGTGGAAGAGAATGGTTAAGTGTATAGCAGTTAAAAAAAGCTTATAATTCATACAAATATTACAAATAAATCTGTGTTCCAATTTCATAAGTGACTAATGAATATGTTATGTTACTATAGGATGAGAGAAAAGTTGGATTTGACATACAGTATATTGAAGGACCAATATAAGAATTTTAAAATCATATTCACACAATTTTTAACTATTAAACAAATTAGTTATTTAGAAAAAGATGGTGATATCATTAAGATTAAGAACCCTTGCTTATTCTGCATGATGATTAAACAACATATTGCTAACCTGATTAAACATAACCTACACCCCCCATTTAGCAGTCAGGTGTTTAATCATCAGGTAAAATAAATGAGAGGTTCCTAAACTTCATGAATCCTAAGATGGTGTTAGAATGAATTTATAATGTGATGACCATTAAGGTCCCAGACTTGATAGCACAGTAGTGAACAAATTACATGTCAGCTGGATAAATTATCTTAAAGAGAGTGTATGACATTTTTATCATGCACCGTGGAGGTCAGTGCAAGAAAGTCTTGGATCACACGAAGATCAAGCACCCACACTTCTTTCACCGGATGGTTAAACACCCTAAGGATACTTAGGGGGTTAGGTTAGGGTGTTTAATCATCAGGTGAAAGAAGCATAAGTTCCTAATCTTCGTTTTTAAGGGATTGTGATTGTCAGTGATATTTATAGAGGACATAATGTTCTTATCTTTGAAGAAACCTTAATATATCTCACATTTTTATAAGCATTTGCACTGTGTATGTTTTATTGTATAATGGGATTCCTCATTCAGTGGTTCATCCTCGGCCTTATTACTCAAGTTTACTAGTATTAACTATTTAGCTCTTTTCTTAAGAACTTTATCTTAGGTAAAATGCCTCATGCTGTTTGTAATGAATATAGCATATTGATTCACATTTATAGTCACCTGTGAGCTAGGTTTGCACATCATAGCAACTTGCACATTTCATATAGTACAAAGTAATTTTACAAAAGGATGAGGACAAAGTGCAGATAACTTGGCTCCTAAACTGTGTTATAACAGTAATCAGTTACCTGTAGTATTACTGAAGATATAATGAGGCAGTGTAAGAAAATCACTTCCATGTATGATATTAAAATCACAAATTAACAAATAACACTGTGAATTTAGGGTTTAGTTTTAATCAAATGACAAATAATTTTACATTTTCATGAGTTCCTATTGAGTTATGTATTGTTTTGAGCAACAGGTCTTTGTGAGTGACCTGTGAGATCCTTAACATGAAATATCTCTCCGCTTCCTAGAAAGAGCACACGAGGCATTCTGGGCAAGAATAAGAAAAGCAACAAAGAACCTTGAGATTGTTTTATTATACAATTATAATTTATTTTAAAGTTGCCTAACTTCTTTGTTTTTGCTCTTATCGCTTGTCTACTTCTCACCTGGAGTGCCTCTTATTGTTCAGCCCATCCACTGCAGCTGGTCTGAATTTTAAATGTATCCTAAGTGTGGCTCTTTTAGCACATATTGGGTTTCTTTTTCATATATAGCACATCTGCAATCAGCTGCCAAAGGTAGACTGCACTATATGTGGCAGGTCTGCAATGAATGGCAGGTTACATTACCCAAGCAAACAAGTCCAGATAATGAATAATTCCTGCAAGTCGTAATGACATCCTCAGATAATGAATAATTCCTGTGAGTTTTACTTCTCACCAATCTCTTTCCAGATCATCAGATTCCATAAACCTATTTTTGAGTCAGATTCAGTAAGGATTCAGGTACACAAGTCCACTGAATTGACTCTGCTTCATTACCTCATGTGCTTCAGAACTTTTACTTATAAAAGGAAGTTCATACTTGTATCCCCTTGTATCTTTCTTGTATTTTGATATTTGATGACTAGTTTATGCACTAACCTAGAATACATGCTTCAAGACATTACAGTTGTTGTTGAAGTTCTGTAATACATTTTAACACAACGTTTTATCCCCTCAGCTACTTGTCAGATTCCAGACTGACAACTTGTCTCTTCTTCCCAGTTAGTCTTTTTAGGATCTGGTAACTTGTATTATAGGTGGGTAAATGCTGAGAATACATACTATTTTATTGGGTATATTTTCCTGGACTATTTCAATGAGTTCTTTCACCTGGGTGACATGGTGAGAGATCAGTGCCGAGGAGTGCTGAAGCCTGCTCATTTTAAGGGTCTGAAGTAGCTGGAGGAAGTGTAGGGAGTTATAGCCTTTATTGTTGGCAAGAGGATCTTTCCTCTGAGTGAAATGAAAAATGTATGTAGCTGACATGAGAAGTGTGATGTTGTATGGCAGTGAAACACAGACAGTTAAAGTGGATGACATAAGAAGGCATGAGCAAGCTGAACTGAGAATGGTGAAGTGGATGTGTAATGTGATACTGAAAGACTTCAGAGTTAAAAGGGTAATTAGGTATTGAGAGTATAGTCTGTTCTCCTATGACATGTGTTTCATAACACGAATTGGTTTTAACACAATGAATTTTTTACAATGCTGATGAGAACTGGATATAACTCAATTGAGTAAATATAACTGTCACGCAAGTAGGAATACGTGGTTGTTGCCTCAGCATAGTGTCACACAAGTTGGGATGTTGGTGGATACTTTTAGATGCTGCCAAGAGCAGCAATTTGTTACCATAATGAAAAATCCATTTGGTAGTGAATGAAAATGATTTGGTATTAACCCTGAATAGATTCACAGTTAATATATGTGATCATATTTCATGTAGATCCACAATGAAAACGTGGAAAAGACCTTCGCTCAGGCTGTTGCTGCTACTGAAGGTGAGAAAACGCTCAGATTTTTTGGAAGGACTACAACATTTTTAAATGTATAAAGAACATGAGTGCAGCATGGGATGATGTTACAGGACAGTGCATGAATGGAATATGGAAAAAGGTTCTGAAAAGATATGTGAACAGTTTCAGAGGATTTAATGAAGATGAAGTAATTTCTGAGATCAGTAACAAGATAGTGAAGTTGGGTAAACAGCTGGAGCTAGAAATTGATAATGAAGATGTTGAACAGTTGGTTGAAAGTGTAGCAGAAGAGCTAAGTAACGAGGATCTTATCGAACTGGAAGCACATAAAAATGCAGAGGAAGAAGAGAGTCTAAATGTAGAAGAAGAACCTGCACCCCCCAAAAAATTTTCAGTGAAGCAAATGGCAGAGGCATTTGCTACAATTAATATGGGGATGCAAATGTTTGACGGAATGGATCAAAATGTTGAGCGTTTTGCCAAAGTTGACAGAATGGTCCAAGATGCACTTGCTTGCGACAGGGAGATTTATAATGAAAAGAAAAAACAAACTGTTCAGTCTAAATTGGACATCTATTTTAAGAAGTCCCCCATTGCTGTCTCTCACGGCCCACCAGTGCTGCCTCTTCACTCCCTAAAGATGATCCAATAACTTCAACCAGCAAGTTTCCCTGTACATAAACCTGTCTGAAGAAAGCGACATTGATGACCCACCCAGCCCTGTCTCCTCCTCGGCTTCATCCAATTAATATAGTCTCCATGTATCCTGTAAATAGAAAATTATGGGGGCCCTGTGTGCATTCAGCTGACTACATTAAAGGTAAGTGCACAGTAACACTGTATCCATTCTTCATTATTGATTACTTATACTGTACTGTATTTCATTTTAGATTTTATATGTATTATTTTTTGCATTTCCGACTTACAACCATTCCGACTTACGACCTGGATTTGGGTCCCTAACCCCGTCATAAGTTGGGGAGTGTGTGTGCATATACAATGAACCCTCACTTTATGCGGTGAACCCACGGAGGCCCGCGTAAAGCACGAAACGCGTAAAGTGAACAACATAACATATGGGATTAAATGAAATAGAGACCGGCTGACCCCCAAGCTCCACTTTTTCCAACACAATACCTATGTTCTAGTAAAAATAACATCTTAATTTTATGATGGTACATGCACACAATTAATACTTAAGAGAAATAGAGAAATTCAGTCGCCAAGTTAATGTCCATTCAATTAATGGACTCAACTCCCTCCCCCTCTTCTCACACTCCTGGCTCTTCCCTCTCTGAAAAATGTTTGGGGGAAAAACCACTAGATTTTAAGGTATAGTAATAAATAATACCTCAAACTAAAGTTAGGATAATATAATTGACATTGCTGGATTCCTTGTAAGACCAGGAATATTTTGAATATAAATGTCATATATTTTGCACAAAAGATAACATATTTACTCAGAGTAAACAAAATACTTAGAGTAGATCTAAAATTTGTATGTCTAATGCAAAATCTATGATGTTTCTATTCAAAATGATCATCAAATTGTAAGAATTCCAGCAATGTAAATTATATTCTGGCCGGGTAATTTGTATGAATTTTATGAGCGAAAACAAATATCTTCAGTTAATAAAAAAAAATACATTCTTCACGACACTATCTGTCAAACAAAGTACCCCACCTTGCCTCCCACCCCTCTTCCAACCGCGCCAGATGGTCGGTCGGTCCCTCCCTCCCACCAACCCTCCCTACCAGAGAAATGTGTGGGAGAAACCAGAATATTTACCTTTTTAGTAATAAATAATACCTCAGACTAAAGTTAGGATAATATAATTGACATTGCTGGATTCCTTGCAAGACCAGGAATATTTTGAATATACACTTCATATATTTTGCACAAAAGATAACATATTTGCTCTGAGTAAACAAAATACTTGCATTAGATCTAAAATTTGTATGTCTAATGCAAAATCTATGATGCTTATATTCAAAATGATCATCAAATTGTAAGAATTCCAGCAATGTAAATTATATTCTGGCCGGATAATTTGTATGAATTTTATGAGCTAAATAAAAAATTATACTTCACCCGCGTATATGAGTAGATGCACCGCGTAAAGTGGGAATTCCGGTTCTGGCAGGGTACCGCGTAAATGTAGAAACGCGTAAAGTGAAACCGCGTTGTGTGTTGTGTGTGTGTGTGTGTGTGTGTGTATATATATATATATATATATATATATATATATATATATATATATATATATATATATATATATATATATATATATATATATATATATATATATATATATATATATATATATATACATACATACATACATACACAGTGAACCCTCACTTTACGCGGTTAATTCAACCCACGGCGGCCCGCATAAAGTAAGAAACGCGTAAAGTGAACAACATAACATATGGGATTAATTGAAGTAGAGACTGGGCCGACCCCCAAACTCCACTTTTTCAGGCACAATACCTACGTTGTAGTAAAAATAACTTCTTAATTTTATGATGGTATGCACACACAATTAATAATTAAGAGGAATATCAATAATATTATGTTTTTTAACACTTACATTAGTAGAAAAGATGGCTGGGCACACGGGGATGGGGGATTGGTTCCGAGGCAGAGGGCAGATTATTGGCCCTCACCTGTATCACTTGTATCACTATCCACCACAGAGGCTTGCAGGGCCTCTTTGTCAAACTCCTCAAAGTCCATATAAGTCCATATCCTCACTATCATTATCACTGACTTGGGCCGGCTGTGGTGGGTGGCGGGTGAAGAACTCGGTAATGTTTTGATGACTGGGCGACCTTGTGCGCACCCTGCTCGCGCCACTTACACAACATGGCGGATGGCTGGAGAGATGGCTGGAGGTTTGGATCCAAAAATGGCGCAGCTCGCCAGCCGCTATCCGCGTAAAGGGGTACACGCACCGCGGAATGTGAGCATTCCGGTTTCGGCAGGGTACTGCGTAAACGTGGAAACACGGAATGTGGGACCGCGTAAAGCGAGGGTTGACTGTATATATATATATATATATATATATATATATATATATATATATATATATATATATATATATATATATATATATATATATATATATATATATATATATATATATATATGTATGTATGTATGTATGTATGTATGTATGTATGTATGTATGTATGTATGTATGTATGCATGCATGCATACATACATACATACATATACAGTAGGATCTCGCCAATAACAACTTCCACAATAACGATTTCGACATTAACGCTAAGTTACAATAGATACCCATTTTCAATAATAACGTCTGGATTCTCTTGAATAACAGAGATTAGATTTCCCGGGAAGCG